GCCCATCAACCTAGTCATTCTACTACTCGTATACGGCCTCGAGTAGTACATCGTCCGCAGTATTCTTCTTCTAACCTTTCCACTTCCAGCGTTGGCACTGCAATGACTCATGACGATTCCGTCAGTCAGCATAAAGATCAAGCGACAAGTTCAGATAGCAGTAGTGATGCTTCATCAGCCAGCTCAGGTACAGTTTCCCGATCTAGATCAACATCATCTCGCAGAAATCCAAGGCATACTTCGAGTAGGGGTGCGTCTTAAGGCTGTAGCTTAGTTCGAAGTGGCCATCCGGGGCAGTAATTAATCGTTATTTAGCCCACCAAGGTATGCGTACGACAATGACCAGAATGCCCCGCCCATACTTGACCATCTCTGAAATGCAGACTCTTCCAAACAACACTCATTTCACACTCCATACTACACAATTTCACAATCCATACTACACACTTTCACAATTTTCGAAATGATATTATTAAGAGTTCTCTTCACAATTTGCTTGTTACCCTGCTATTTCAGCTTTACATCGGTCCAGACAATCGCAACGTTAGGGAAAAGGGCTATCACGCCGTATCAGCCGCCAAATCCTAATGATCAATCGCCCATGCCAGATCCAAATCAACAGACACCCGTCAATCAAGCTATTCGTATCCGTGAACCTGTTGATAGACCGCCTGAATTGCCTCGAACACACCCTATCCAGCATAATGAGCCTCCACCACGTTATGAGCGGCCGAGCATGATACAAAGACTAAGGGCAAACGAACGAGAACAACTAGAAACGACCAAAGATAAAGGGAAGAAAAAAGTAAAAGAGAATGCACCATCCAGCTCTAGGAAGCGAAAGCATTCTTCTACGAATGATAATGAGGCTGGTCCCAGCGGAACCAAACCTTCTGAAGAAAAGAAGCAAAGAGGGTTTTGGACTAAGATAGCAATTGTGAATGGAGTAAGGAAAGGATGTAATGCAGCTTGCAGAGCAGGAAGAAATCAGGCGAATCGCTTGCGAGAACGAATCACTGGAATACCTTCATCAGGATTAACTAGAAAAGCATTTCGACATGAAATGAATCTATCAAATCGTCGTAATTTTGAGATAAAAAATCGTCAATTACTTCAAATTCAACGTGAACGCAATCGTCAACAGCTTATACAGAATCGTGTATCCCATCAACCTAGTCATTCTACTGCTCGTATACGGCCTCGAGTAGTACATCGTCCGCAGTATTCCTCCTCTAATCTTTCTACTTCCAGCGTTGGGGCAGATAGTTCTGCCAGTCAGCATAAAGGTCG